GCTAATTTTTATTACTTTTTATAGAGATGGAATCTTGCTGTGTTGCCCCAGCTGGTCCCAAACTCCTAAATGCCAGCAATTTGCCCACCTTAACCTTCCAAAATGTTGGAATTACAGGTGTTAGGTGTGACACCTGGCCAGGAGTGAATTTTTAAATGCAAAAAAAGAGAGATAGGCAATGAGCTGAAACAAAGTTTGTTTTAGGAACTATAATTTTATAATTAGTGATTGGCTATAAGCTATAGGGTGTGAGTCATAGTGTCTGGTATAACATTATTAGGTTAATTTATAGCTACTTGTGGCAATAGCAGGCAGTTTCAATAGACGAATACAAACTGAATATGATGGCTCACACTTGTAGTCCCAGCACTTTGGGAGACCAAGGTAGGAGGTTTGCTTGAGTCCAGGAGTTCAAGACAATTGTGAGAAACATAGTGGGACCTCATTTCTACAAAAAAATATATATATTTAAAAAAGCCTAGTCGTGTGATAAACTCCTGTAGTCTCTGCTACTTTACAGGCTAAGGTAGGAGGATCACTTGAGCCCTAGAGATAGAGGCTGCAGTGAACCTATGATTGATCATGCCTTTGCACTCCAGCCTGGGTGACAGAGCAAGATCCTCTCTCAAGTAAAAAAAAAAAATGTGAATACTAACTCATAGGGCGGCAAACAGGACATGATTGCAGTCTTCATTTTCATTCTTTATGGGCCTGATAATTAAAAGGGCTTGCATTCCTCAGATTAAGGTTCTTTTCTCATATAAAAGAAAGAAGCACATTAAAACTCCGCTTTTTTCATTATGAATTTCACATTAAAAAATCTGTAAAAGTTGTATTCATTTCTATAGCCATATTAGTTTTTCTAGCTAAAGTGTGCCCTGTTGTTTAATCTTAACTTTAAAAGGATTGAATAATCATTACTGGAACTATCATCATAGATGGTATTTTTATCCCTGAGTTTTTTATTGTGGGGAATCCTTGGGTGCGTCAGTGGAAACAAAAACACAAACTCAAAGTGCTTTTTTCTTTTCTTGCTCAACACAACAATCAAAATGGAAGCCTCTTTTGACCAAATGTGTAGTTATTTCCCTCACACATCAAACAAGTAATCAGTTCTGCAGTGGACACCAGCTGGGTATCCTCCAATTAAATTCATATGCTAACTACCTGGAGAAAGCCTCAGATCCCATAGGTTGAGGGCTCAGTCTCACAATACTGGCCCTGCTTCAGACAAAAATCTTAAGTCCAGGCCTCTGTAACTTCTGACTAACCAGCTTCAAGTTAGGGTTCATATAGTCCCCTTTTTGGGTCCTATTGATTTGTTAGTGCAGCTCACAGAACTCAGGGAAACTTACTTACATTTACTAGTTTATTATAAAGGTTATAACAAAGGATACAGATGAAGAGATGCATAGGTGAAGGTATAGGGGAGAGATGCAGAGCTTCCATGCCCTGCTTGGGTACACCACCCTCCAGGAACCTTCACATGTTCAGCTTTCAGGATGCTTTAGGTACCCTGTTCTTTTGGGTGTTTTATGGAGGCTTCATTACATAGGCATGATTGATTAAACCATTGGCCATTGGTGAACAACTTAACTTTTAGGCCCCTCTGCAGAGGTTGGGGGTTGAAACTCAAAGTTACCACCTTTTAATCATGCAGCCTTCCTCATGACCAGCCTCCATCCAGAAGCTGTCTAAGGGCTGCCAGCTATCAGTTCATGATTAGCATAAAAAAAGACATCACTTTGGAGATTCCATGTATGTGAGGAAAGGGGTGGGGGAGTGGAATGATGACCAAATGTATATTTCACAATATCACAGTAGGTAACTGATTTCGCTTTCAAAGGAGGAGCACATAAATACCTTATTCTCTGATTTAACATGCCTCAGATTGGCTGTGTGTTATCATTGTATTCAAATTTTTAAGAATGTAATTCTTGAGTCAAGTATCTCTTTATTCTAAATATTATAAAAATGTTACTCTCTTGTCTTCTGACATTGTTTGCCTGAAAAAATGTCCAGATCAATCAGATTCCCCATCCCCTTGTGTGTGGGGGGGGGTTGGTTTGTTTGTTTTTTGAGATACAGTCTGGCTGTCTCACCCAAGCTGGAGTGCAGTGACATGATCTCAGCTTACTGCAACCTCTGCCTCCCTGGTTCAAGCTATTCTCCCACCTCAGTATCCCGAGTAACTGGGACTACAGGTTGAGTGCCACCACGCCTGACTAATTTCTATATTTTTAGTAGAGGCGGGGTTTTACCATGTTGGCCAGGCTGTTCTGGAACTCCTGACCTCAAGTGATCCACCCGCTTCAGCCTCCCAAAGTGCTGGGATTACAGGGATGAGCCACCGTGCCTGACTCTGTGTGTATATGTTTTTGTCTGTCTTTTTTTTTTTTTTTGTCAGATAGCTGAGGATTCATCCTTTATTCATGAAGTAGGGCTGAATCAGGGCAATTGTGTCCATCATTTTTTAATAAGGTTTTGGGGTCCACAGCATGCCTTTTAAAGGACTATTTCATTCTTCCTTTATTTCATGGAAATTTTACATTTTTCAAAAAAATTTAACTTTTAAGTTCGGAGGTACATTTGCAGGTTTATTATATAAGTAAACTCCTGGG